CTAAAGTTTACAATCATCACCTGTAAGGTGACCTAAACAGAAGAAAGAAGACTAGTAAGACTATCACAGCACATACAAGAACACTTTCAAGTGTGGGAATGCTAAAGGCGATCTATGTATATGACAGCGGTGTATGTGCAAAGTATGTGTATGTGCTGTGTCAGGTGGTAAAGTCCAGTGGTAGCGAAGCTGTGGACGCAGCATACTGCTGCTACACTTCAACGCGGGAATGCGTATAATAATAATAATAAAAATAATAATAAAAGTAGCCACACACAAATAATAATAAAAGTAGAAAGGAAAAGGACATATGGAAACGAGTTAAGAGTAACTCTCCACCACTGTAACTAGATACTATATACAGCCAGGAAGTGCAACAACTAGGCACAAAACTGACAGAGTACTGAGACATTCGACGTCCTGACACCTAGCTTCAACACATCTCCTGTCAGTTTTGTGCCTAGTTGTTGCACTTTCTGACTGTATATAGTATCTAGTTACAGTGGTGGAGAGTTACTCTTAACTCGTTTCCATATGTCCTTTTCCTTTCTACTTTTATTATTGGCTCAATACCCGAGTTTCAAATAATAATAATAATAATAATAATAATAATAATAGCGCAACCGACCACCACACCTCAGAATACCATCTCCGTCGAGCTGCGGCTGTAAGCTGCTACGCACACTCTTAGGAGAGATAGGCTTTCCCCGCTGTAGAGCACTGATTTCCTCTGGGAAAGCTGACTGCTGGCACTAACATATGATGACATACTCGGCGCTGCGGATTTCATCTACGGACAGGGGGCCTGACACTCGCTCAGTGTTCAAGTGTCTTGCGTTGCTTGAGAAGCGATTGATCCAGGCAATGACCCGGGCCAGCTTGAGGAGGCTGCTGTAGCGCTCTGGATCCAATGCCGGTAAGGCGGCGACCGCCAGATAACTGAATTGAGCTATCTCCACTGCAGGCTTCTTCAGCTCTGCCGCCGCTGTTGCAGACAATGCCTTTCCTGGGGGCGGCGTGTGTAACCCGGACATGAATGGACCACACCACCAGAACTGGGAATCTGCGAGCTGACTTGCAGACATACCACGCGTCAACAGGTCGGCTGGGTTGCGGCTAGTAGCTACATGCTTCCATTGCTCGGGATCACTCGCTGTCTGAATCGTGCCAACTCTGTGGGCAACGAACGGCTTGTACTTTCGGCTCTGTCCACGAATCCAGCAGAGGACATCAGCACTGTCAGACCAGAACGTGACAGTACTCATCGTGAGATCAAGCGAAGGTAGAAGAGACTTCACTAGCTGCAAACCCAGAACTGCGGCCATCAATTCCAACCTAGGAATACTGTGGACAGCAAGCGGGGCGACTTTCATCTTCGACGCGACGAGACGCATTGAGTCGCTGCCATTGCTGAACTGCTGCCGGATGTAGACGACTGCGGCTTTTCGGAGGCATCCACAAACACTTCCACGCTGCTAGTTGCTGTTGTCGCTGCTGATTGTCGCAGGCACCTCGGAATTTGAACTCTTTTTAAATCTGGTAGCTCGGCGCACCACGCTTCAGCTGCACTGACGAGATCATCTGGCAAGTCGGCGTCCCAATCGAAGCCTTCGATTTACATGGATTTGAACAGGACTTTGGCTCGGGCGATGTACGGAGCTAGAAAGCCGAGCGGATCAAATATGATTGCCAGAATACGCAGAAACTGCCGCTTCGTCAGACTTGTAAAATCTGGCACCTTGTACTGAGTACTGAAATGTAAACATGTCGATCTCAGCCTGCCAGAGGACGCCGAGCGTCTTAATGTTCGGCAGCTGTTCGTCCGTGAGCTCGAGTTGACTTGCCCGATCCGCTTGTGGGATCTCAGCCAGAACCTCCGCCGAGTTAGAGAGCCACTTCCACGCGTGCATGTTAGCTTGGCCCCAGAGAGCCGACAAATCCGCGTATAAGGACTTGGCTGCTGCAACACCAGGTGCTGACGTCATGCTATCATCCATGTATGTGGAGTCCAGCACGACACTAGCAGCTTGCGGCATCTCTGAGCTGAGCGATCTGGCATGCTGCTGCGACACGTACTGCGCTAGGAATGGCAAAGCATTGACTCCGAACACCACGCTGCAGAATTCGTACACTTCTGGTGGCTTACTTGTGTCTGCGCGCCACAGAAATTGATGGTAGTGCCGGTCGTCTGAATTTAGGCTGATACGGAGGTACATCTGGGCAATATCGCAGACCAGTGCTATCGGCTCACGACGGAACCTAACCAGTACATTCACCAGGTGTTGCTGTAATTTGGGGCCGGGCAAGATAAAGTCGTTCAATGACTTGCCGTTCGACTTCGCTGCGGCGTCGAACACAATGCATACTTTTGTTGTGGCCTTGTCCGGCTTGACTATCGGGAAGTGGGGCAAGTACCACGAGTATCCGTCGTTGATGTCTGCGGGGTCAACCCGGCGCACATAGCCCTGGCTGATGTATTCCGCTATCGTAGCGGCGTAAACTTCTCCGAATGCAGCGTCTCGCCTCAGCCGCTGCTCGGTGTTGGCCAAACGCTTCAGAGCAGTGTGGTAGCTAGCATTACCTCCGGGCGGGTGATCCTTCCATGGAATGCCAACACTGTATTGGCTTCCAATGTGCTTCATCGACTTTGCGACCGTCTCCTGTGCATGTCGCTCATCTGGGGTTAGAAGTGCCGCTCCATCGGCCGTTGGCTGACTTTCCACTTCCCAGAACTTTCTCACCAGCTGGGTGAGGTCGGCGTCTGACTGAGTCATCAGACAATGGTGCATGCTGGCCGATACCCGGGAGTCTCCTGCCGTTTGACTGATGGGACCTACACATGTCCAGCCGAGTGGCGTTCTCCGGGCACTTGGCTTACCTGGACCACCGATGACTTCTTCTAGTGATACATGCAGGCTGCTGTTGTCAACGCTAATCAGAAGGTCAACTGTCGACCAATCACTGAGCTTTGGGAACTGGACATTCTCCAAGTGTGGCCAGCTCTTCTTGACAATCTCCCAGTCTACTGGTGTTAGCGACCGAGATACTGCTGGTACAGTGTTAGCACAGATGTCCACGCTTGTCTTTTTGGTCAAGTCAAACAGTGTGACGGTGACTGGCATACTCTGAAACGTTTCTTGGTGCCCATTCAGAGTAGACATTGTAATCTTCTTCGTCTCTCCGCGGAGACCAAGTGCACCTGCGGCACTTGCGCTGATCAGCGTCTGCGTCGCGCTGTCATCCAGGAACACATTGACCCGTATGGTTCGCTCGTTGTTGCTCAACAACACTGGCACAGTGCGCAGTGACCCTGGTGCTGCGCGGACATTACTCGCTGACATAACATTGCCGACGTTGTGCCTGAAGGTCGCTCCCCTTCAGTGCTGAGCTCCGGTTCGCTGTGTACTTTGTTCAACTTCGGTTTACGATGCAGCAACCAATTCTGTGTGTCGATGCACTTATCCACACCGCATTGTCTGGTCCTGGAACACTGCGCTCCACAGTGACCTGACCCAAGGCATCGATAGCATAGCCTTTTTCTCTTTTGCCAGGTCCCATCGTTTATCAACGGTCTTTTCCTTGAAAGACGGACATTTCCAGACGGGGTGCTGCTCGCTGAAAGCGGCACAGCTCTCGCTCTTCTTCTCTGCTAGGAAGACTCTTCCGGACGATTCTGCGTTTCTCGGTTTCCGGTCATTGAAACCACCACGTCGCTGTCTGGTGCTGGCAGTACTTGCGATGCTGTCAATGGTGAACAGTTCAAAGCCATCAAAAACAAAGTTGCCTTTGAGCAATTTGAGAGCTGCCCTTTTGCGATTCCTTGTCCTGAGCAGGATTCTGTATTCACTTCTTTTGCGATTCCTTGTCCTGAGCAGGATTCTGTATTCACTTCCACAAACGTCATCGGTAATCAAGTTCTTATTCAAAGTTCTGCAGAATCTTGGAACTCAAGCGATTATGTTCTTGTCCACTTTGCAAGCTGAGCAAATCGATGAGTCCCAGGTAACGTTCCCTTTTGAGGCACGCCACCCACTTTGATATGCTCTGAGCACTAAATGTTCAAAGCAACTTCAAGCGACATTTGGTTTGGTCCGCAATACTCGGTGATTCCGCCTTATGAAATAATAATTAACTGGAAAGTTTATTCTTTGGCCCGTATACGCGGCACCAGTAAACTATGGTGAGAGGATCTTAATGCATATGTGCAGCATTCGTATTCAAACATTTGAAGACAAAATTTAATGGTGAATGGTGGTAGACCAGAGCAAACGGTGATTGGTGGCAGATCAAGCTAAAAGTATGGCCCTGATGCTACTTGTTCATCCCTAGTCACCACCAACTGCTTTGTGTTGAAGGACAGGAAGGATTTTCCAAATTACCTGGGCCATTGTCACCACCTATGCCCTTGCCACCATCGAAAGTACACTTACACTCTCTCGGATATTGTCACCCTCATTTCATCTGTTTGTTGTGAATTCACTTTTGCCCCTTATGTGTTCTCTCTGCTTTTTTTAATGCTGTCCGCATCCTACATTTGAGTGCTAATTCTCACTGTTTTATATTTGATATTCAATGGTTTGAGGGAAAGACACAAACGGGAAAAGTCTGAAGAAAAAATGACTGTCCACCAGGACTCGAACCAGGGACCCTCGCTTGTAGCCAGCGATGCTCTAACCACTGAGCTATGGTGTAGCCGTCATTCCAGCAGAGACCGTTCGGCATTTTCTTCAGACTTCGTAACTCAAACTTCATGTGAATCCACACAGGCAGGTGGGAAGCAGCCCTCACTGTAACCCGTGTTTGTATTTTATATTGTTCACCTTCCTGCACATAGTCTGGTGTTTTAATTAAAAACTGCAGTGTGTCCAAGCGATAGTTGTCGCAATAAAACATGAGTGGAAAACTGTTCCCACCTCGTTCACTACTGTGTGTAAATAGTTATCATCAAACCTGCTCTGATATTTCTGTAATTTTTGGTGGTGTTATAATTATGTTTTCAGGATATTGACCTTTTTAAATCTGGCAGCGCTCAGAGAGTCTGCTTTTCAGGGTTCTACAGGCTTCACAAAAATGTAAGTAGTTTTGGTTACTTACTGTAAGAATGGGTTTGCTCCCACATTGGAGCTCGCGCTATTCCACTGACTTGACTTGACACTCGACTAACTCACGACTGCCATCCAGAGCACACGAGAAGTCCATCAAACCTTCGACTTGGCAAACCTGCAAGAAAGCACCACTCACCTACGAACAACACTAACATTCTCAAATGCACCCATCTCCTTGCTAGTCCTGATTGTTGCAATTCGTATTCAGACTCTTCTTTCACTGTCAAGTGCCGTGGTCCGCATCAGCTGAGCTTGAGCAGGTTGAGGAAGATTGTGCCTGAAGAGCACCATTTATAATTATAGTGCTCTCCAAGCACAAACATCACCAGGGATTCAAAATTACAGTGATGCTCCGTTTCCAGCGCGACAAACACCTGGTGAACACCAGATAGCAGCGTAATTTTGTGTCGCTCCTGGATGGTGAGAACACAAGTAGGGGACCCTGGGTCATTCACAACGCTGTAACCTCCAAACCAGCTACTCAAATGCCCGCGCTGGGCACAACAGTACGAAATAGTGGTTGCGACTTTGGCGATGATTTTCCTGGTGATGTTTGTGCCTGGAGAGCATATCATACATTTGGCAACGTTCAGGACGAGATACCAAATGATTATACACAGAAGACTTACGAGGTCGAAACACACGTCCACACTCACTTTCACACTGTCCCATACCCACGATCTCTCCCTCACTCAACTCACCGCTGGAATCTCCGCCTATTACGATCACACCAGAGCAGTTCAGGACAAGACAAAAGGGGAACAGTTGACTTCAAGATCAAAGCTAGAACGCTGAACTAGAACGACAGGGAAATTCAGCAGCACAACGGTACCTGATACAAACTTAGCCCTTTGGTGCCTGACTGAATTTTAGATTTTTCGTAGTTTTGGCTCAATTTTTTGGAAAGCCTATATCTCCGCAACCGTTTAGATGATGTAGCGACAAAAGTATGTATTCTGAATGGCAATACACAGCAAGATCCGATTTTTGAATTTTCAAGTCAGAAAAATCTACAATAGGGTCAGGGTACTGCGCTGGTCCAAGAACATCTTGGCCGCCAACACAACTCAGCACGCCGAATCCACTACCTCGTCCACGGCCTCCGCCACAGCCTCCGCCACACGCGCCACACACGCCACAATCAGCTGTTCGATCAGCTGGCTGAGCTCGACCAGCGCCGCGAGCAATTCCTCCGCGCAGCGCGAGCGGAGCACGTCCACGAACTGGCTGCGCTTGCCCTCGCCCTACAGCTTCTTGAAGCTCATCGTCGGAAATTTTGTCCTCATCTGAAGAGCTGCCGTTCTCAAGAATTTCACCGAAAACCAAATCATCGTTTAGTCGGTCTTCCTCAACTGATGACGGCAGGTTTCCGTCAGAGAAAAGAGCGTCAGATTTTTCACCATCGTCGTCTTCTGATTCTTCTTCTACAGGGGCATCATCGGCCTCCAGCTCTTCAAACAACTCAAGCGCTCCTGCAGCATCCATGACGGAGGTCAGCTGTAGTAGCCATGAACTGTACTAGTCGAAAACGAAGCGAAACAGCAACGTTTTGTTCATGTTGCGGGAGGCGTGCGTAGGCTGCCACGCTCGATTGACTTCCGCTGATCTGCGCGATCGTCGTTGATCACGACTCGACTTTTTCAAAAGCAACCTCCCTACTTTCTCTATTGCTATCTACAGGCCAGCTACTGAAGGGTCTCTGTACAAAAATCAGGCACCTGCGATTTACGAGACTGGCTCTGTGCTCGATTTTAGTATGCACTGTCAGCATAGGTCGAAATCGACCTACCGGCACCTAAGGGTTAGAGTAGAGGAGTAGAAAGATAATGATCTATGACGTGAGGCAGCTCACTAGTAAGGATATGACATCCCTCCACCATTATTAGATGAGGAACACATAAAGCAATAGTATGAAAAATGAGTTCACTATAATTTGCTGCTGATACGAGAAGCGAATTCAATGTAACACACTAAGGAATTGCAAATATCAACAGAGAGCTGAACGCAAAACCCAGCAGGTCTGCAGTTACAAGTTCAAACGATCAGGGGACTTCCTTGAGCGTGTAGACCTGCGCAACTTAGAGCTAGGAGAATTAACAGAGAAGACTGAGTAGAAGATTCAGCAGAAGGTGCAGCAGATGCAGAAGAGGAGAGCGATGTTGATTCCACATCCTGGTGGCTTGCGGCAATCTCTGGCTGTGACGGCGGCTGCGGTAATTCGGCATCTGCATGTGACGGCGGCTGTGCAGTTGCCAAAGTTAAAGTTGATGACGGCGATGACCGGTCGGATATGCCTGCACTCTTGGGTAGCATTTCTACTCCTTCGGACGGAAGACGGCGTCTAATGTGATCAGCATGGCGCTTCCAAATGCGACCATCATCCAGACGTACTGTAAACGTTGCTGGACCAAGACATTTTTCCAGCATACCAGGCATCCATTTAGGCGTAGATGTGAAGTTAATCACCCAGCATCACCACAACAGAGATCCGGCGCCCGAGCTGTGCTACGATCAACAGCACCACTTTGCCTGTTCAAGACACGTGCTGATGTATCTGGAAACATCAGGTCAAGACGAGAACGTGGCGTGCGGTTCATAAGCAGCTGAAATGGTGACTGGCCTGTTGTTGACTAAGGCGTTAAGCGATAATGAAACAGAAAGCGGTGTAACCGTGACACTAGGTCTCCACCAGCACCTGACAATTTCTTCAAGCACGATTTGACTGTTTGAACTGCTCGCTTAGCAAGACCGTTGCTTGCTGGGCGGTAGGGTGAAACCAAGGTATGCTTGATACCGTTACTTGAGCATAATTGTTGAAATTGCGAGCTGGTGAACACTGAGCCATTATCCGAGACAAGCTGTTGCGGAAGACCATGTGTAGAAAACACTCACGAAGCTTGCCAATGGTAGCTGTCGACGTAGCAGATGGAACGGCATGCACGTTGATGTACTTGCTGTGGCTGTCGACGATCACAAGTAGCATCTTGCATTCCACAGGGCCTGCATAATCAATATGCAGTCTGGTCCAGGGTTTGCCTGGCCACTCCCAGGGATGCAATGGCTGCAGTCCTGGAGACTTCTGGGTTGCTTGACATGGCTTACAGCTGCGGACCTTGAGTTCAATTTCGCCATCGATTGATGGCCACCAGACGTAGCTGCGGGCGAGAGACTTCATTCAGGTTATGCCGGGATGGCTGAAATGCAACCCTTCCAGTAACTTTTCTCGGCCTTGGGGCGGAACGACAACGCGAGACCCCAACAATAAGCACCCATCGATGATGGAGAGTTCACTTCGACGACGGTAGTACACTTGGTAATCACTAAGCATATCGTTAGGCCAGCCTTCCTGGAGTGGCACTCCGGCTTCATTTTCGACGCCCAGTTTTCGATGCCAAGACGAAGGTTGGTGAAAGAGAAGGCCCCTCGAACAAGAACGAGTCTCCAGAAGCGATCGAGTGGAGCAGGAATACGACTTTTGAATTTCGCCGAGCGAGCGCTGATGACGTAATGAGGGATTAGCTTGCCAGTGGAAATGCATCTGCGCACATACATTTCACACACTTTTTGGCCAATTTTCAATCGAAGTGGAGGTTGTTTTCTATGTTCTCTCAACGTCATGAGCGATCCCGTCTTCTATACCCTTCCAGGTACCCTGAAGGTTCTCCAGAGGAGAATTTATCTCCAGCAAAGCGTTGTTGATCCGCTAAATTCGTCTCGAGACATATTCACCCAGTGCAGTTCTGATAAATGTAGAATATTGAATCTGTGATAATTGTTGACGATGGAGAGAGAGGTTGATAGCCGCTGTCGCAGGGAAAGTGAAGCTGCTGGAAGTAACAACGGGGAGCTTGTTAGCATCACTTGATCAAAGCAGCTTGATGATATCGGGGAGTACTGACTATTTGTCTCGCCCTCAGTTTAGTGAATTTTATTACCAGAAATTATTCGATCAGGATCCCTTCTACAAGATGTGTAGTACAGGTGATTTCTGAACTTGACGATACGGAGACCGACCAGTAGACTTAACAACAATGTGTACCTGCAGGAAATTCACCCAAGGCTATTGCTAATGCTGTCCTCTTCAGTGGCGGTTGTTTTTTTAGTAAAAATATGTTGGACTCAGTATAAAGTCCATGCACTATGGTGTCCAACGCCCTATATAGAGTCCATTGGTCCAAAATCCATTATACAGCGTCCAGGAGTCCACTCAATTTTGATCAGCTCCATCCAGCCGCACAATCCCCTATAAGGAGTACACTTTTTCTACAAGTCCCCTATTCACTGTCCAGGAGTCCAGTTTATCCAGTCACACCATATCCTGTGTGTAGTAAAAAAATGAGAACAATCACCTTTTCAGTTTTGCTTGCCTCGTGGCAGCGCATTCCTTTCTTCACTGCAGCCATGGCTGCCAGTCTGCTGTGCAGTTGCTGCCAGTAATATTTCTCGAGGTAACCAAGGAGGAAAGGGAGACGTTCAATATCAAATCTGGAAAGCGTCTTGTGGTTCTCTGAAGACGTTTCATCAGTACGCGGGATGAAAGCAGAAATTGGAGAACGAGAAAATTTAGCACAGTTCAAATCTGACGAGTCAGGTACACTGACACTCTCTTTCCTTCGACGCCACAATGTCCCCTGTTTGACTGGCCATGGCTACCAGTTCTGCTGTGCAGTTGCTGACAGTAAGACGTTTGAACGGTTTCATCAGAGCGAGGGATGAAAGCAGAAAGCGGCCCTAGAACGAGAAAAGTTTAGCACAGTTCCAATCTGACGAGTCAGATACACTGACACTCTCTTTCGTTCGACGCCACAAGGATACCCTGTTTGACTGGACAAGAGCTGCCCGTACCACCGTATCAAAAGGCTGTCCAACAACATGGCAGGACAATGACTAAGGTAAGGAAGCTTTTACTCGTTTCGATTGGTCTGCTGTTCTGTCGTTATGAATGATTTTTTTTCCATTTTTCAAGG